CCATGCCTCTTCCGGATGTTTTAGTTTTTTTACCTTTAACTCCAGTCTCCAAGTTTTTCAGTTCACCATTGCTATGGCCTGGTACTGAACTCACAACACTTTAGGTCGAGTCACTGGATCTAACCAACTATTTCAGCCACAGGGCCATGTGTCCTTGAGGACGTTGTTTAGATCCGTGACTAGACCAAAGAGTTGTGAGTTCAATACCAGGCCACAGCAGTGCTGAACCAAAAACCTTGGAGAGTTGAGTTAAAGGGAGACATCCGGAAGAGGCATGGCACGTGGAACTAGAACAGTCTACCGCGGTATAGCATCCGAATAAAGTAAATACCGCAAGTAATCATAATACCTCACCTCAGAGATATAGACAGATACTGAAGAAAAATTCCAATCCCCTGAAGAAGGCCAGAGCGAACAACGACCGAAACGTTGTGAATGTTGCAATGAAGATGAGGATAACAGTCCGAATAATGTAAATAATGCAAGTAATCATAATACCTCATAGATAGAAATAGATATGCACTAGGGTCTACTTTTTTTGGGGGGGGTAGGTATGCTAGTTTTGTTCGTTTAGAATTTAATCGCTTTCATATTTGTTTTGGATGGTTTGGTGGTTGATTGGTAGTCAGTGAAAACCGACACCCGTTCGGGATTCACGCATAAATATGCTGGTTGATACTCCCGTAACAGTACCCTTCATCATGACATCGAGAGGCCCACCAGAGACTATCGCACGCCCCCCCCCAAAAAAAAGCATTCACAAAATGGGAATACAATACACACCTGCTGATAGGATTGCTCCCTTCGAATTTACTCGAAGGTTCGGATCCTTGACTATCAGGCTGATAACGCCAAAACCGAGAAAACGTTTACCTCGAGCACCCTTAACGCGGGTGCAAATAACCCAGGAAAGATTCAGGCGTGTACGTGTCTCGTCTGTCTAGAGGCCAAGGGCAACAGAACTCCTCCTTGTTTCAGAAACATCGTAACGGTCAGGGCACCAAGGCAAGCTCGCTCATATACATGAAGACTAAAAGACTCATTGAGAGAAGGGGGTGACAAAGGTTGATCGGGGTGCATGTGCATCCCCTACTCCAATTTCAGTTAGTATCAGTAGTATAGTCGTTAGGCTGAGGGCACACGGAGGGAAGTTACCGAATTTATTTGAGAGAGAGAGAGAGAGAGAGAGAGAGAGAGAGAGAGAGAGTTTACTATGAAGATGTAACTACTCTTGTCACAGACACAAGCCGGGAATTGAGGTTCATTAGAATCGGTTGGTTTAGGGGTCATGGGAAAGTTTACGGATAGGCGTCAGAGCTATAAAGTTTTAACAATAAAAGTCCCAAGAAGGCCTCTTTGAAAAGGGTACATATTTGCGCACGAGCTAATTTTCCACACCAGAAAAAACCTCTATTATATAGAGTGTGTGGAAGCGGGGAAAAGGGCTGAACTAAACAGTTTTATAATTAATAACAATGTGCAAATTAATTGAAACAAAACGAATAATTCCGTTATTATTTACTTTTTTCTTTTTTCTTTCAATGAAACAGGATCCAGTGCACATATTAGTACTTCGTCTGTCCATTCGACAAAGTCGTTCTTTGCAGATTGACTACAGATTCTCGATTGGATTTAAATCAGGAGAAAATCTCGGCCAGTCTATATTACTTTGATGTACTCACTTGTAGGGCTTGCCAGTATGTTTGTGCAGCGTTACAATTTTTTTTTTTACCCTTTCTTGGCCGTAGGACAACTAATCGACAATCGAGACAATAGTGTCTGGGCGTGATGAAAATCTGATGCAATCAGTGATGACGCAATATTTTTCAAAGCCAAACAAATTGCCGAAAATGGATTCATATTACTGCACATCACTGCAAATGACCTAATCAGAAGAAAAAAATAGAAATCGATTACACTCTGTTACTCCAGTGGGTCTAAAAATCACCGTATAGTGAAAGAAAGATAACTAAAGCGGATGTTTCAATTAATTTGTACAAGGGTGTACAGAACAGTATAGACGACAGAAAAAAGGAAAGGTGAAAATATCAGATACAAAAACAACAAAAAAGTATGAAAAAAAAAATTCAAAATAAAATAGATAATAAATAAATAATTAACACGGATATTTCAACATTGAAAACAAACAAAATGGCAAAGGCACAGAATCTTACTTTTCACTGCTTCATTCTAATCTCTAAATGTGACATTTCCTTATTTTGGGCAGAATGAGTAGACTTTAATTTCAATGGTAATTTGGTGAAAATTTAGGCGACTCTTGTGATATGGTCTCAGGTTTCCACGGCCAAATTCTCTCGGTCGAGACGGGTGGTCCGTGTGGTCCCGATCCTCTCACTTGCTAGAGGTGGTGGATGAACAAGGGTGAAGTATCTTTTATATGAGGTGGGTGTAAGGGAGTAAGAGGGTGAAGATTCTTTAGATTGGTCATTTACCATTCCTTTTTTACTTTATTTTTTTTTTGGTGGGGGAAGAGCTCTACCAAAGAAATTTATTAGTCATACGCCAGTCACCAAAAATTATGTCATCCAAAAACAAATACCAATTTTATCTATATATATATATATATATATATATATATATATATATATATATATGATATCAAGGTTTGTGCTAATAGTTTTAATACTTATTCCTTAAAACTCTCGAAACACCATACTTAGTTACCTCCCCTGAAGAGTTAGTCAAGCGATTCACAGAACTCATTCAGAAATCTTGACAAGTAAAAAAGATTTCACTTTCAGCTGAACATAGCAATTTATCTTTGAAAATGATAGACACTAATATATTTGTTTCGAAATAAACAACACACTGATGATGACATATGTCGAAAGTACTCGGAATAAAATGTATCAACACGCGAATTTTCTCTATTTAATAATGAAACCAAAAAGTTTGTCAGGGAATATGAAAAAATTCAATTCAAAATAGACAAAAATTGTTTTATTCAAACAATGAAACATGTCTCAATATATATATATATATATATATATATATATATATATATATATATATATATATATATATGTGTGTGTGTGTGTGTGTGTGCGTGTGCGCGCGCGTGTGTGTGTGTGTGTGTATGCGTGTGTTTGCGTGTGTGTATCTCTCGGCCCTTCAAAATGTGTAGTTGGTTTTGCACAAAACCTACACAACTATAATCAAATCACATATGCTGTCTGGCTGTCGCTTCCTAGGAACTGAGCTGCTTGACCCCCATACGTCTAATACGACGGGAGGGTCGTATATATTACGATTACCATTATAGACGAGGAGAACAAATACTACACTTTGATCCTAGCTCGATTGCCAGGGAGTGAAGAAAATCATAACTCGAGCAACACTGGCTGCTCGGTCAATAACTACCATAATAGGGAAACAGCTAATATTACGATTACCATTAGAGATGAGGAGAACAGATACTACACTTTGGTCTCAGCTCGTTGCCACTTTGGTCTCCAAATGTTTCCTTATAGGGAAACAGCTAATATTACGATTACCATTAGAGATGAGGAGAACAGATTCTACACTTTGGTCTCAGCTCGATTGCCAGGGAATAAAGAAAACTCGGGCAACACTGGCCGCTGGGTCAGTGAATGCCAAATGTTTCCTTATAGGGAAACGGATATTATTACCATTACCTTATATTCTATTTCCTGTTCACCTGTACTAAATTATTTGTGACGTATTCAGGCACCGAGGTATTTGAAGTGTTCAGTATTTACAAAATCCTAAATTATTATGTAAATTCAGTGTAGGTGACATTTCTGTTTTCAGGGCTGTTTGGAAAAGTAAGTGTCCACCTCGTCTATGCTCTAGCCCATAGACAATTGTTTTGTCAAAATAGTTCTCATCACACCAATGTCATGATCTTTGCCGGCAAAGAAATTCGAATTTTGCTTCAATAATAAACCATCACATGGCTCAAGCGTTAAATGTTTTGACATTTTTTTTAAAAAGTCTTAGCCCAATACAAACTTTTTAAAGGAATTCAAACTATAAATAACTGAAAACATGATTGGTCGAAACCAGCAAAAACTATTTACCATATTTAATTGAGTATAGCGCAAGCTTTTTTATGATCAGTTATTCTACGCGAAAAATAGGAGCATCACTATACATCTTTTATGTTTCTTTATTTTCTTTCCTGCTTTTATTTTTCTTTCTTTTTCTTTTTTCTTATTTTCTTTTCATTTGTTTCTTCTTTTACTTTTATTTTTCTTTCTTTTATTTTCTTTCTTAATTTCTCTTATTTTTTTCTTTCTTTCTTCTTTTTTTTTTTCTTTCTTCTTCTTTATTTATTCATCTTTTTTCTTCTTTTATTTTTCTTTATTTGTTTCTTTCTTTCTTCTTCTATTTTTCTATATTTGTTTGTTTCTTTCTTTTATGTTTCTTCATTTTTCTTTCTTTCTTTTATTTTTCTTTCTTTCTTATTTTTCTTCCTTTCTTTCTTGTTTTCTTATTTTCTTTTTGTTTTTTCTTTTTATTTTAATTTTTTTCTTTCTTTCTTTTATTTTCTTTCTTTCTTTTCTTTATTCTTTTTTCTTTCTTTTTTTCTTATTTAATTAATTTATTTATTTATCGTTCTATCTTTCTTCTTTTATTTTTCTATATTTGTTTGTTACTTTCTTTTATGTTTCTTTATTTTTCTTTCTTGTTTTTACTTTTCTTTCTTTCTTTCTTTCTTGTTTTCTTTTTTCTTATTTTATTTTTTAATTGCCTGTTTCTTTATTTCTTCTTTTCTTTTATTTTTTATTTATTTCTTTTATTTTTCATTCTTTTTTCTTTTCTTTTTCTTTCTTTT